TCGAGTTCTGAACATTGATTTTAACTGGCTCTCTCAGTGTTAGAATCAGGTTCTACAAGGATCTAAATGCAAAAAATGAAAAATTGTATTGTAAACTGAAAATTCATATTAACTAAATCTTTATTTTGTGGATTGCGATTAAATTTTATTCCCCTCCCAGCTAAAGGCTAAATGCTGGTAGCCATTCCTAAGTTTTACTCTGCACACACACAAAAACAAAAAGATGAAAACTCCAGGTTAGCAATAGTAACTAAGCCATGTTTGAACACAACAAAGTATGGCATTTTATTGAATTCACTGCCAGGTGTCCTAAAGTCCAGCAGTCGGTAACAGGGTGGCACAGGGCTGGACAATAAATCAATAATATATATTGTAATAGACAAATGATCAATATCAACAGATAATACGCCTGATAGAATATTCAATATATATATATTTTTAAGGTTTTGTTGGCTCTAGTGGCCTTTATTTGAAAGCAGTTTGACAGGAAGGAGGGTTATGATAGAGGGGGAAGACATGCAGCAAATGTCACCAGGCCGGGAATCGAACCTCTGACCACTGGCATGAGGACTAAGGCCTCAATACATAGATTGTGATTTGCCCCTGCACCACCACAGCACCCATAGAATATTCAATAATTTGAACTCTGATCAAGAAGCGCACAGCATTCTGGGAGGTGCAGGCAGCTCAACTTCTCATGGCCAGCTAAGCAAGGTGGGTGTTACCTAGCAACAATCTGCCTCGAGTACCTTGCACTTCCTACTCAAAACAAAAAACCAGGATTTAAATACAAACTGTGGATAAAACAGGAAATGTCACTAAACCAGTTTGGCAGTATTTCAGATACTTAAAGCAAAGAAAAAAACAAAAAACTAATAAATAATTATCAATAGATTGATATGAAATATCGCAGAACATTTCTCAGCCACATCGTTCAATGTCAGCATCAGCTGCAATATATCCCCATTTTATTGTCTCCTGTTTGCTTCCATGACTTTTTAGCATTTAAAAGTCATGGAAGCATGCTCACAGCAGATGCTGTGAACATCTGCTGCTGTGAAACTGTCCAACTGGCTAAATATTACATCAGCATCTAGAATGCAAGTTCATAACTATATTAGCCAACAATTATTTCCCTCTAAGCAGTTCTTTATGATATGAATCTTGCGATATTTCACGCAGCTCTAGTAGATATGTTATTGAGTATAGTGTCATGAAATTGCCACTTCTATCTTTCCTCATTGCTGGGTTTGAGTTTAATCCAACAAGTGATTACTGTTCCTTCACAAATGATTAAAGGAAATCTTAAACAGAATTTAATTTCTTATTTTTTTAATCCCCATTTTTAGCTCAAAACATTCATTCCAACAAAATCGATTACTTCAAAGAGTTTTTTTTATGTTTGCATAACAAAGAGAAAATATTCTTAATCTCAGGTTAAACTTTAAGGTTTATTTCGAAAAAGTATTAGATTTATTGCCGATGAATGACAACAATGGCAACTTTTAAAACATTTTTTCTTGATCTTAGCTTTTCAGATTTCAATGTAGAATTAAGACAAAATACCCCAAACATTTGGCTTTTAAAATGCTGTAAGATAATTCAAGATTTTAATATAATCTTAAGTGTCTGCAAGCAAAAAAAAAAAAAAAAAAAAAGAAAGAAAGAAATAATATGGAATATTACTGGAATGTCGAGGCTCTCTAAAACAATCACCAGTTCCTGAATCTAACCAGTTTCAGCACTTTTAACATTGTATAACTTACCAATCTGAGAGGGAGTCAGACCCTTTTTGGCCAGCTTGAAGATCTGCTCTTTCACATCATCAGATGTGAGCTTGAGCCACTATGAAAACAACATCTGCGTTACTAACCAGAACAACAGACCATCAAGACCGATCCAGTAGAAATATAAGGCGTACTTACAGTGGGAACACTGCGCCTGTAAGGCAGAGCTGACTGGGACAAGCCCTTTCTGAAAATGGGAAAAGAAATAATTTAATCAACAGTTTGGGGAAAACACTAAAGGAGTCAGTACAACAGTTAACATATGGAAAATAACACGGTAAAAAGCTATTATTGAGCTCGTGGAAGCGAAAAGGCCGGCTAATGCTAGCTTCAAACATCTGCTAACGATACATACCGAGACTAATACATGCATTCAGAAACTTTGGTTTATATAACTTAAATGTGCTTGGACTTTGACGATTATTTTTTGGGCTTAAAATATATATAATCTGGAAGATGTTATCATAAAGTAACACCTCTTTGAACCGCAACGGTGTCGAGCTGCTAATGTAAGCTAGCTAGAAATAGACAAGCATCTGAAGGTCCGTCTATGCTCCTTTTTTCCGTTTTGCAACAATGTAAAGTTACATTTTTTTTACACCACAGTCGACATTTACATGTTTACCAACGTTGTTGTGAGACAAAACCCGACCTGCCGCCGTTTAAAACTAACTTTTAATGTTAAAAAGAGAGCTCACCCGGGAGCGTGCATGCGACCCATGATGGCGGTAGAGGAAGAGAGGCCGCACACGCGACAGAAGAAACGATTTTGCGCCTGCGTCGGAAGTGGCGTAGATACGTGAGACGATTTCCTGTAGGCGCTCTCATAAAAAGTGGCTCTGCTTTTTTGATTATTAGCATTAAAAACATCGACCTAATTATGTTTAAAAGCGGTTGTGTCGTTTTAATGGAAATGCCTTGTAAGTTCTCCATCTTTATTCAGATCCGTTCCGGAGAAAGCTGCGTGTTATTCATCACTGTTCCGAAATTCTTGCCAAATTCCACATAAATATCTGAATAATAATAATTTTAGACAAATAAATGCAACTGGCCATTAGAATGTATCCGCTCTAGTTTACAAATAATAAGAAAACTAAAAATCGGCTCAACCATTGCTTTAGTCATTTTCTCAGATACAAATATGTTAACTAAGTCATAGCGTTAAATAAATGTTATCACGTCACTTTATAACCGCAGAATTGCATCCATAATTATTTGGAGTCAAGCTCTGGAATAATTTGAAAATGTGGCTGAAAGATAGATCAGTTAAAAAGAAATGTAAATTAACTTTTTTTTTTACAAGATATTTAGAAAAAGGTGTCTGAACAAATGTTTGTGTTTTACAGTATAGTTTAACTGAAAAGGCTTCTAGTAAAAGTACGATGACTATACATTTAAACAATTTATTAAAACCATTCCTTTTATGTCTGTATCATGAGTCTTTATGATGCAAAGAGACATTTTTGCCTTCAGTCTGGCTAAATAAAACTTTAAAGCTGCAATATATTTTTGAAATATGACAATATTTCCACAATTTTTGATAAATATTTGCTATATTAAACATTTCTAGAGAGCAACCATTTTATTTCTATTTTTAGGTTTTAAAATAAAACATTTTGCAAGTGTTGATATATTGTCTTCTATGGGATATTTTTTCCATGTAGTTTCTATCCCATCAACTGAAATAGATCTAAATAAATATTACTGGTACATTTATTTCCCATCTTGTTGTGGAAATTCAATGCATTTATTCAATCAAAAAAATAAAAAATAAATAGAACCCTGCTAATATCTACATTAAATCTATATTTAGAAATTTTACTTGGTTCTTTATTATTTTTAGCCTGTTATAAAAATGCTAGAAACATAAAATATAACTTAATAGAAATTTTACTTGAACTGGGTTGAAACTGGGTCTCTGTCCCTTTAAAATCTGCTTTTTTAGGAAGTCACCACAGCATGGCTCCACTATTAACCCTTTAACAACATTTTTACCAGCATTTCACAAGAAGTTTGCCAATTGCTGCTTGCTGGCTAGTCTGAAGGAGCTGAGAGGGGGAATCACAGGTTGAGGACTGCTTTGTTAGGCAGAAGCTTGGAAACTAGCTGTGACGAGGAGCTTCATCCTCGAAGGCGGAGCTAGGTCCACCCAGGCATTTTGCACCGATGAATGGTTGCCATGGAGATGAAAGGATTCTCAAATATGCATGAAAACATCAAGGTGACACTCCATTATGTTTCTGATGACTACAATATTGTAACAAGATGTAAAGCTAAAAAGAAGCAGATCTTACATAGTGCTGGCTCTTTAAACGTTTGGTCATAATCGTCGCATTTCGAGGGAAAAAAGGGGAAACCATCTGACACACAGGGGTGGCACCATCATGTACTAGTATTCTGCTGCAGGAGGAACTGGTGCACTTTACAAAACATATGAAATCACCAAGAGAGAACATTATGGCAAAAATATTGAACAACATCTCAACACATCAGCCAGGAAGTAGAATTATGGATGTAAAAAGGTATCCTGGGTGATTCTGTGACACCTGGTCCGTCAGCACGGATGGGCCTCAGAAAGAGGTTCATTGATCAAAATGGAAACAAAAGCACAACTAACATGATTTATACTGCAACGTTAAAACGTGACAGGCAGGAAGGAGCACGTCGCGTTTGTTGAAAAACATTTAATTTGCTTTATGAAAGAGATTACAGTACACACCGATCGCTTAGGCTAGAGGTCACCAATTAAAAAATAAATAACTGGCCATGTTAACACACACTCTCCTTGATTTCTTACTAAAAAGAGCAGAACCAGGCAGTTCACATTAGATCCTGTAAAAACTAATGCAGGAAAAGAAATAATCTTTATCTTTTTGTTTTTATTAAATATGAACACAACTTTAGATTCATAGTTACACAGAGAGGAGGATAGTTTATGAGCTTGTACAGGATAATATTCCCTTGTGAAGATGTTTTACATCCAAGTTTCTGATCAGGATTTATAATATTTTCCCATTTAAGAAGAAGAAAAAAAAACAATAAAACAAAACAAAACCTTGCTTCTCCTGGACTTTGTGGGCAGTTTTTCAGCCCGGTTACTCTGGTCACAGTGTGATTATTAGACCTCTGTAGGCACTTGGAGAGGATGCGGTTCAGCTGCCGGAGCTTTCAACAGGTCACTTCCAGATTCCAGGATAGACTCCGCTCCTAATTTTTTTTTTCTTGTGATAACTATTGAAAAAAATTTAATGTGCCTCAAGGCTTATACATGAACCTCTGTGAAGGTGTGCTGTGTGAAAGAAGAAAAACCATGGAACAAAGTGTGAATTTAGTGGGAAAGAATAAAAACTGCTACAACAACCCTGATGGCTCTGACCTTCCACCAGACCACTTCAGCTTTACAGGATGCATTTTTTACTCATAAGGACATCCCACATTATTTAGCAAATTATATTTAGTAATAAGGCTAAATCATGAGTTAAAAACAAAGGCACCCTTCTCCAGTCCCTATGGTAAGTGGTTTATTTTTGATGATTTGTTAGTTTTGGCACATTTTGGGGGAAATGAAAAAAAATCCTACAGTGACTTTGGATTTGATCTAATTCAGTTTGATGGGCAGTCCTACTGTTTTCTATGTGTTCACATAGGAAATAAACCATGACACGTAGAAATGTCTCTCCTTTCAATCCCTTAAAAAACATCAGTATATATAGATACTCTTCTGAAAGTAAGCCGTTTTGGTCCTCTAATAAGAAAATGTACAAAATATTACAGCTCTTAGTTACAGTTTTGTTTTGTTTTTTTAAAGGAGGCAAAATAAGAAGATTGTTTGTCACATGAAACAATCTTGATTAGTTTCTCAGGCAGTAAGAAGAGTGAAAAAACAAAAAAACAAAAAAAAAAAAAAAAAGAAACGAGGCTCCCGTTTGTAAGTTATTCACTTCTGTTGCCCCTTTGGGGAAAGACGACACATTCATATCATATGGGAACAACCTGTGGAGCTGCGCAGCTGGCGCAGGAAATCCCAGACACATAAAATGGTGTTTAAATCTCATAAGAACTACAAAACCCTCAGTTTGATCCAGCTTATAAAATGTTTCTTTCCCAACTTTATTTTAAATTTGATAATCTCGCACCAAAAAAAAAAAAGAAAAGATGAATCTGTTTCCTGATGTTCTGAAGCTTTTTTTTTTTTTTTTTTTGACATAAGGAGCTGAAGTGGCTTCAAGTAAAACCTCCGTCTGCGGCCTTTCCCATATGATCCGAATGCGTCCGTCGTCGTCCGAAGAGGCAGAGTCAGAGTCGGCCTGGGTGCGGGGGTCAGAAGTACGGAACAGCGGTTAGTTTGTACCACTTGACCGTCTCTTTGCTGAGGTCAAAGTCTTTGAGCCTGAGCGTGATGCCGCCCAGGAAGTAGTTCTCGCGCAGTGACTCGGCGCTGAGCACGCTCAGCTGCAGCTCCCGCAGGCTGAGGGTTTCCTTGCTGTAGCTGCTGTACACCAGCTGGGGAGAACAGACGAGCAGAAGTTAGAACACAGACCATGCAAAAGGTCAGAGGAGGAGCTTCGTCCTCAAAGGCGGAGCTAGGCCCACCTAGGCGTTTTGCACATCTGAATGGTTGCTATGGAGATTAAAGGATTTCTCAGACATGCATGAAAACATCAATGTGACGCTCCATGTAGGTTTCTGATGACTACAATATTACAACATGATGTAAAGGTAAAAAGAAAAAAAAAAGTCGATTTTACAGAGCGCTGCCTCTTTAAAGTGTCAGTAGCTGCGTTTACATTGACCGCAAGATTGCACAAATTGAAATTATGAAAAATAGATTAACTTAATGGAAACACAGCAATTAAAAAAAACAAACAAAGTTTTTCGATTAAAAAGATTTTGTGTTGAGCATGAGTTGGTTGGTTTCCAGCCATATTGAAGTAAACGTATTTCACTAAACTAGAATGGAAACAGTTTTTTTTTTTCACATCACACGAGTTGCGTGATTAACAGCCGGATGTTACTACTGGTGGAAACACCAAAGAAGACGACGGGAAGTAGTTGGAGGATGATTGTTTTGTTTTTTTCTTCCAGAAAACGTGCAGAAGCAGAGTTCTCACTGTTCATAAAAAACCTGTCTGTAATTCCAACGTGGTGAATCTGTAAAATTGCTGACTAGAAGATAAAGGGGCTTGTCTCTCCAACGCCTGAATAAGACGCAAACGATGGTTGATAGATGAGCGCTAGAGCCATGCCTGAATTATGAATATATCGCATGTGAAATTTTTTGCAATTTTTGTCCTGAATAAGCTTATTCGTGATTAACTTTGATTTCTTATTTAGTGGAAACACTCCAATATTGTGTTTATTTATTTATTTTTGACATTATCGGAATATTGACAAAGTTTTGCGCACATTTGTAATGGAAACGCAGCTACTGCGGTGTGTTTCCTCACCATTTCGTTGAAGGTGGGGTTCCTGGTTTTCCTGGAGATCTTCGTCTTGCGTTTTGAAGTCTTGTGAGGATCAGGAAGCAGGTAGGTTTTTACATATGGGTTTGGATCCGTTCCGTCTTCAGAAACCTACAAAAAGTAGGGAGGACAATACAGTTCAGGTCAGATGTTCACATACAGTCGCACTGATAAATGTTTTCTTAGTGGGGAGATTTTAGCAGGGTTTCTGCAGGTTGCACAAACTCAAATTTAAGTCTTTTTAAGACCATTTTAAAACCATTGTGAATTAAATTTAAGACCTATAAAGTGACAATTGTACTGAGAAAAAAAAAAAAAAAAAAAAAAAAAAAAAATAATCCCTAAAAAAAAAAAAAAAAAAAAAAAAAACCCAAA